CACACACACACACACACACACACACACACACACACACACACACACACACACACTTCTCTCTCTCTCAAAGTGTTAAGGGCTGGGAAATGTAGCTCAGATGGTAGAGTGCTTGCCTGACGTGCAGGAGGCCCTGGATTCAATCCCCAGAATTTCATTAACGGGATGGTGGCACACAGCTGTGATCCCAGCACTTGGGAGGTGGAGGCAGGAGGATCAAAAATTCGAAGTCAACAGGCATGGTGGTGCACGCTTTTAATCCCAGCACTCGGGAGGCAGGCAGATTTCTGAGCTGGAGGCCAGCCTGGTCTACAGAGAGAATTCCAGGACAGCCAAAGCTACACAGAGAAACCAAAAAAAAAAAAAAAAAAGAAGAAGAGGAAAAGCATTCATGGAAGAGGGGAACAAAGATGTGTGTGTGAGTATTGAATGCACGAACAAACAAAACTCCTTCCAACCACTCAGGCATAGGTCTATCCCTCACATGAGTGCCCTCCTACCTTGAAATCATTGATGTGTTTGCCATAGTTCACACGCCCCATGTTCTCCACCAGAATGTCCAGAACGGCTCCAGCTTTCCCCTGTATGTTCAGGACCAGCACACGGTTTCGCTCAAGGACTCCTTGGGGAACCTGAGGGTTGAAGCCAAAGCCTGAATGGAGATCAGAGAAACAGAGCAGTGTGCACAGCTAATCTGACACTTTTCCTGTCCTCAAGTGTCATCAGATTTATAGGGAGAGTCCAGATACGTTCAGGCCGAGCCCCAGGCCAGTAGGCCAAGTTCCCACACTCACTGTCTTCCCAAAGGGGAGGCTGGCTACACACAGCTCAGGGTACACTCCCCTGCCTGGAAATGTGTTATGGTAAGTAAGATTCCTTTCTAACGGGAACAAGGTCTTACGACACACCCCAGGCTGGCCTTGAACTTGAGACCTTCCTGACTCAACCTCACAAATGCCTTACAGGTGTGAACCACCATGCTTGGCTCAGGCATCCTTTTGCTTTGTGTGTATGTATATATACATATTTTACATTTATTTGTGTGGGGGTGTGTATGCACACGCACAGGTGTGTAGACACACGTCTACCATGCTGTGTGTGGAGGTCAGAGGACAACTTGAAGGCAGTTCTCTCCTTCCATCACGTGGGTCCCAGGGACTGAACTCAGCCTCCCTGGAACTAACTTCTGGTTCTCCTGCCCCCACACCTCACGTGCCAAGCTTAGCTCCTACACTTCTATTTTTAAAGAGATAAAACACACAAGATATCCCAGGGGCGTGTCCTTGTGAGAAGGAATTACTGCATGACCACACAGCCCAAGGAAGGTGTAAAGAAACAGCCTTTAAACACACGGCGAGAGCAGACAACATCAGGTCGCAGATAAAATCAGAGTTAGGTGGAGCCAGGCCCCCACTTGGTAGGATGCGTTCACCACAGAGATTATGCAACAGAACAAGGGAAAACAACAGGTATTTTCTCAACGACACATCCCTCACTTCTTATTTGAATCCATATTAGTTAATTAATTTTCTGGATCTGCGGACTGAACCCAGGGTAAGTGCTCTCTCACTGAGCTAAATCCCCAACCCCACCCCTAACTTAAGAGGTTATTTTTTTAGACTGGTTACACTGACCATAAGTCACTAAAACACAACTCTTAATGAAGGCCAGGACATGACAAGCACAGTGTCACATCTCAGGGGTTGTCCCTGCTGAAATTAATCTGTTGATTATTAACCCCCCCATTGTGTGTGTTCACATGAAAGTACACGTGTATACGTGTGTAGAGGACCGAGGGACAACGTTAGGTGTCATTCCTCAGAAACAGTCCACTTCCTTTTTGAGATAAGGTCTCCCGCTCACCTGGAACTTGCCAAGGAGACTAGGCTGGCTGGCCAGGCCCCCACGGGACCCTCCTGTCCCTACCTCCCTGGAACTGAGGTCACAGCTGCATGCCACTACTCCTGGTTTTCTTCTTCATCTTCTTCTTCCTTTATTTATGTGTCTGAGTGTTTTGCCTGCATATATGGCTGAACTCAGGTCCTCACACGCTTGCAAGGCAAGCTATGGTCCCAGGCGAGAATGGAAATATTTTACTTGAAACCACTCTGCATGTGCACACCTGTGATCACCAGCACTTGGGAGGAAAAGGAAGGAAGATCAGGAGTTCAAGGCTGATCCTGGACACAAAGGAAATCTGCGGCTAGCCTGGGCTGCACAAGACCCTGTTTGAAAAACCCAAACCCCAAACCCTTCCAAACTATAATACTTTCCTGAAAAAAATCCCTTGCTGAGGAAAATCTTCCCATGAGCTTTTCCCACACCTTTCAACGAGGGTTGATGCTATAGATAGCTTTTTTATTATCACATTTATTCATTTATTGTGTGTGCACCCCCAAGTGCTGAGGCACACAGGCAGACATCAGGACAGCTTGCAGGGGTCTCTGCTCTATACCACATCAGTTCCAGGGGACTCAACTCCAGTCCTCAGGCTCAGCGGCAAGTGTCTGCACCTGCTAAGATGTCTTGTCTCTCTGGCTCTGGCTCTAGCTTTATCTTTGTTCTGGTTTATGATTTTTAGACCCTGGGTTTTATCCTGTGGGGGTAGGCTGGTCTTGTTTTTTGTAATTCTCCTGCCTCAACCTTCTGACAGCTGGGATTGCAGGCATGGGCTATCCAACGAGATGTTGGAAAGGGTGTTTAAAAATGTATCTGCATTCTGCTGTGAAATCAAGTCCTTGGTGCATTTTAGTTAGAACTGTCACGAACAACCCATTAAACTCTAACGCCTCATTTGGGGGAGACACCCTGTTGAACACACTTTGTATGGTGACAGGTACCAAGCTGACATGGATGTTGTCCCTAAAAAGCAGCCTGGGTGACATGCTGAGTTCAGTCAGGGAAGAGATGACCTTGGGCTCAGGAGACCCCGCTTTTCCTAGAGTGTGAGTGTTAGAAAACAGCCCCGAGTCTGCAGCATGTGAGCTGTATCAGCAACAAGGTCACTGCCAGGGGACACCGGCTGAAACTGGAGGTGAGACCAGAGCTTCAAATGCCACGTTAGTAAGTGTAGATGCCTCCCCCCACCCCACCCCACCCCACCCCCATCAAGGCTTAGAGGTACAGTTCAAAGATAATGCTTACCCCGTCCACAGAGACATAAGCCCGATCATGGACACCATCGATGGATGAAGAGAAAATGGGCACCGAGTCATTGCAGTCCCGAGGAAGTGTTGTTCGGTACAGCACATACCCAAAATACTAGAAAAGGATGTAAGAAATATGCTTCATTCTCAAGTTCAGCTACTAAGAACTCGGTTGCCCTTGATCTGGATGAGAGCGACTTTCTGAAAACCGTAGGGAATGAAAAGCTTCCCCCACCCACAGCCACATTCAAGCTGACTTTTTTGATCTTGGTGGAACTATTTGAATAGCCAGGGACTCTCTTCTCTGCCACACGGGGATACAAAAGTCAAGCCAATGCCAAGAGTGACCTAGGGAAGTCACGCTCTATGTCAGAGGTCACTAGGATTAACTCAAAAACCAGTCAAGAGCTGTGAGATGGCTCAGTGGGTAAACGTGCCTGCCACAAAGCCTGAGGACCTGAGTTCAATCCCCGGGACCCACATGGTGGAAGGAGAGAACCCATCCCCACAAGCTGTCCTCTGGCCTTCATGTATGTGCTGTGGCCCACATACATATACACGCCAACAGAGT